ATAGATAGATAGATAGATAGATAGATAGATAGATAGATAGATAGATAGAGAGCGAGAGAGAGATCTGCGCTTACTATTATGACGGCGACACGAGGGCCCTCTATAACCCAAAATATCTTCAGAATACTGTACCCGAACCAACACCTGCAACGAGACGAGTAGCTGATTACGTCATTCATAGACAGAGATTAATCCATCGTCACCTATGACGTCATTCATACACAGAGATTAACCTCTCGTCGACTCTGACGTCATTCATACACAGAGATTAACTTCTCATCGACTCTGACGTCATTCAAACACATAGATTAACCTCCCGTCACCTCTGACGTTATTCATACACAGAGATTAACCTCTTGTCGACTATGACGTTATTCATACACAGAGATTAACCTCTTGTCGACTATGACGTAATTCAAACAGTTCACGAGTTGAATCTCGGCATGTAACTCGCACACGACTATACGACTATACAGTTTAGTGAGTTTATGTGCTGCGAAAATTGGCTAGAGTGGATTGCAGCCTGGCCGAGTAGAAATTATTGCTCTTCGTCCAAGCCTAATGTCACTTACTTGGCGTGGTATAGAATTCCTGTTGTCACAGCCCAGGATAGCGTTAGAAGAATCGGTGAACCTAAAATTAATGTAATCAAGCATGCTTTTAAAGAATCTTCAACACAGCTACCCCTCTCCTCCCCAAACAACGAGCGAAATCATATATCTCATTGCATGTCATGCAGACGAATATATATTACGTTAGCCGTACACGTATTGCTTCTATAATGAATCATTTTAATGCAAATCTTTCTCGAATGGCTTATTATTCATAGAATACGATATTCGTGATGTGACGGTAAAGAAAACTTAGAAGCTAACATTTAACATAATCAGAAAGAAAAAAGACGAAAGGAAAATAAATCAAACAGCCGACGACACACTCACCCCAGCCGACGTCGCACTCACCCCAGCCGACGCCACACTTACCCCAGCCGACGCCACACTAACCCCAGCCGACGTCGCACTCACCCCAGCCGACGACACAATCACCCCAGCCGACGTGCGTGCGTGCGTGGGTGGGTGTGTGCGTCGATGTGTGCGTGCGTTTATATGTGCATCGGTGTGTGCGTGCATGGGTGTGTGCGTGCATGTGCGTGCGCGCGTGTCTATGCGTGCGCGCGTGCGTGTGGCTGCATACGTGTGTGCACGTGCGAGCGTGCGTGCATGTAAAGTGCGATCATGCGTGCATGCGTGGATAAATTTGTCACGCCTCCGCCATGCGTAATCACATATGAATAATCCGAATAACGAATGAATATGAATAACGAATAATAAGGCACGTTGTTAGACAAATCATAAATGTTTATGACTATCATAATGACTCTATGACTCTATTATGACTCTATGACGACAATATAACTTTAAAAAAAGTCTTCTTGCGCAACAGGCATGACATCCAAGCATCCTACATTTATGATGTCATAATTATTGATGATGTCATAATTATTTATGATGTCCTAATCATTGATGATGTCATAATTATTAATGTTTCTGACAGCGTCTTCCAGATTGATCCTAAAATCTTTAGATCTACCGCCCGTTGGTGCGTCCACAGGATTATATCGGGCTGGGCACAGTATCATGGGAGAAGGGGTTTATTCAGCGCTGCAAGCTTCCCCTGGCGGTACCCAGCAGCTCGTTATAAAGCGACCGAAGGCTGGTCTCTAGTGAGCAACAACTTTGAGTAAAAAAACTGGTGAAATGGAGGCCTGAAATGCCCATAGTGTGGTAGGGGTGGGTCTGAGACAAGGCTTTCACCGATAAGTGACCAGAAAAATCACGTTAGGGTTATTTACGATTATTAGCTAAGTTTATTTTCTAATTTTTCTCCAAAATCTAAGGGGCAGGCTATCAATCTAACGAGCGATTCGAAACTCGATCGAAAACATCGATTTCAACGTCTCGTTTTCACACTTTTTAACCTTCTACAGACAAGTCAACGAGTTGAATTCACGCGTAAACCTGTTAGATAAGTTACGTCGGTCGTCAGCGCGAAATCGTTCGCTGCTGTACATTTCCGTGGCAGATGACAACAGAAGTAGATCACTTCACATGCTATAGTCGAGCTATCGCCTGTCTGCGCGAGAAGTCTGACAGCAGTAGCGTGGGAACTCTAGCTGCCTCTCTGTCCCTCTCGCTCTCTCTCGCTCTCTCTCTCTCTCTCTCTCTCTCTCTCTCTTCCCTCTATCTATCCTCACCCCCTAACACCTCCTCACTAGTCCCTCTATCTATCCTCACCCCCTAACACCTCCTCACTAGTCCCTCTATCTATCCTCACCCCCTAACACCTCCTCACTAGTCCCTCTATCTATCCTCACCCCCTAACACCTGCTCAGTACTCCCCCTGTCTCTCCATCTATCGTGAGGCTTCAGTGGTAACCTATTAGATCGATCTGATATATAGATCTATATCTTCCATGATTACGTTGCAGGCGGTCGCACGCTAAGTGGGATGAGATGAACATCCTCGCTACGTTTCATCCGGCGGACAAGGACTACGGTCACATGAAGGTCGATGAACCGAAGACTCCCTTCAACTACGCGGAGCCGGAAGCGCTCAACGCCCCCACCGCTGACGACCTAGCAGCCAGGTAAGTTTACCTGTAGAGGTGTGTATGATTTACCTGTCCAGGTGTGCATGATTTACCTATCCAGGTGTGCATGGTAGTTGAACTGTGTTCTTGTACTTGATTTACCTGCCCAGCTGAACTTATAGTTTGCCCGTTTTGGTGTGTTTTGTTTTCCTGTCCAGGTGTGCAAATAGTTCACCTGGTTTCATGCTTAATTTACCTGTTTAAGTAACTGTGAGCCACTAGTTTACCGGTTCTTGTGCTTAATTTTCCGGTTCAAGCAAGCCAATAGTTTATCTATTTATGTGCTTATAATTTACCAGTTCAATTGAGCCAATAGTTTGCCTGTTCTTGTGCTTTAATTTACCATATTTAAGTAGGAAATAGTTTTACCTATTTTTGTGCGTAATTTACTTGTTTAAGTAAGCCAATAGTATACTATTTTTGGTGTGTTAGATTTACCTGTCCATATGAGTTTAATTTACGTCTGCTAGTGCCTAACGAACCTATACCACCAGGTAAGCTGAGCTCATTTCCTGATTGGCTTCAGGTAATAGCTACCTGGCAGACATGCGGCTATCTATACACCTGTGCGCAATCTCTACCGTCAATCATGCACAGAGTAGTGTCAGGTTAGGAAGCGTAGGTGTAGGTAACTAACTACATGGTGTGTGTGTGTGTGTGTGCGTGTGTGTGTGTGTGCGTGCGTGTGCGTGTGCGTGTGCGTGTGTGTGTGTGTGCGTGCGTGCGTGTGTGTATGTGTGTATTCTATCGTGGTCTAGCACTAGCGTGTGTGTAAACCACCGTTAGTCCGACTACAAAGCCATCTACCTGTCATCACAGAAAATCATACACAGTGTAGTATCAGGTTAGGAAGGGTAGGTGTAGATATTTTACAACATGGTGTAGGTGTGTATATATTCCATCGCGGTCTAGCGCTAGTCAGATTACGTAGCGTAGTTGAGCTTCCGTCGCACTTGTCTTGTCTTGTCTTGTCTGATACTGTACTAATCGCCTGGTGCGGCTATAAACATACAGGTCATCCTGCATAGCTTTGATGCTTTTTGCACACTAATTTTGCATGATTAATTCAGTCAAGCATCCATTCGGCAGCGAAAGAAGATAATTACACCCTAGCTACACGTACAGTAGACAGCAAGACAAGAACGACTAGCGCACAAGGTCGACAGCTACTACAGATCTAAGTCACAGACCTACATCCAGTACGACAGGTAGTAAAAATAAAAGCAAACGCTTGAGATTACGTAAGTTAAAATCGAGGTTATATTCGAAGTATGACTGTTTACAATCTGTGAGCGGATATGTGTATCTATATATGCGTGCGTCTTGTGTCAATATCTATATGTCTCAATTAAAAAACGCATATATTTTTTATTTTGCTAAGTAGGAAATGATGTCTGACTGATTACAAAGTTATATAACAATATTAAATTGATTATATTACTTATAGTACCTAACTTATAGGTACATAATATCAAGAGTGCATAATAGAGATTATGCACTCTATTATGCACTCTTGATAATATATACTAACAATAATTAAATAGTGGGCTCATGATCATTAAGGTTCAAATAGTCATGAATTCTCTTCATAGTTAAACGTTAACATCGCACAGACATTATTATGGTATTTAGCTTCGTATTGAAAAATTCTACGCTAGTCAATAACGTTTTCTTATATTGTAAAATATTTCATACACTTTATTTATAGGTCATATTATTTATATATTAACCTCATAATACATTTCACAAAGAGTTTAACATCAGAGAATTGGATCGACAGTCTTTCC